CCACACTCTGCATTGTAAAACGATAACGATCTCAAATACTACAACGAGCTTAAATGATTCGCCTTTGTTTTCATTGGGCGATAATATTTGATCATTCGAAACTGATTAAACTGTCTCAGCACATTCCAAACGTTATTCAAAGTGTCTGCTTTGCTCAACAATCATTAGACGAGTGAAATCGTCTTTAATTTGTTTCAATTGAACAGCAAATATATTTAAATTCGTTTGTGTATGATAAAAATGGAATAAATCATATTTCCTAAGTAATAATAAATGTTTGTATGTTTGTGACGCGATTAAACAAAAACCACTCAACCGATTTTGATAAATTTTGGTATGGAGATATTTTGGATCTAGGAGAATAACATAGGCTACTTTTTGTCGCGAAAATATAACTTACAGGGTGTGCAAAATAGTTTGCAAGTTTGTGCAACGAAAAATCTAAATGACGCTGACGCATGCAAAAAAATGTGATGAAAAGGCCTATTGAAGATGCCTGCCGGTATTTACATATTGAATATTACACATTAAAATAAAGAAAACCATGCTTCTTCCATGACCAACTATTTGTAGCCTGTTCGCGTGTGTCCAATGCCCGAAATCTGCACGTATTTGCACCGGGCGGAAGAACATATAATATAGTATATAGTAACATGTTAGAATATGAATATACTTTATCAATGTGTTTTTCAAATTTTGCAAAAATTAAATATTAAATTTTTAAATACAACTAATCCTAATCAAGCAATAAAAATATTATCAATGTAAACGAAGCCACGAGTAAAACCTAGTAATTATAATAAACCGTTAGAATTTTGGAGAATTTACTCACTCAGTTATTCGACTGCTGAAATCGCTCGTTTGATGGGTGTCATACCAGCCGATGTCCTTGTTAAGAACGCTTGACATGTACAGCGATCGAATTTTCGCAATCTTAAATGGAAATATTCAAAAATTAATACAAAAAAATACAAATTAATACAAAAATTCATAGACAAACCCAGAAAGATTACAAAAAAACAAAATAATCTACAAATTTTAAAACTGTGTTTACAAACCCGATAATAATTAAGATAACATTTCAAAATTGATAAAATAACAGATTTGAAAAGGTAAACAAATAATTCTTCAATTAATCTTGACACAAATATTGATTTTAGTAGTTTGATAGTAAAATTACTAAGCATTATGTATTTTTCCGTATTTGAGTATTTTCCGTGTGAATTTCCGAAATATTTGCAAATGTAAATACAATTTAATTAATACACGTGTCAGTTATCTGTTTACTCTATTCTCGAAGCATGAAAGATTCTTTAAATCTTTTAAAACCCTCATTAAGCTATAAAAAAATTCCCAACAAGTAACCTTTAGCACTTCCAATTGCAAATATCATAATTATAAGAAATTCTTCAAATAATCCAAACGTGCACCTACGTAAATAAGTGCCTACTACATAGTTAGTATTCCTACTTTGTTTTTGCCACGGCGAAATAATATTTTTTACCTGTCTAATTGCCGGTTTGCTTATCAGGAGCACACTGACGTAGGTGAGTAGGACAATCACGATACCCAAGACACAATTATATATCAAGTATATTGTGACGCCATCCATCAGGATGTCTTCTTGTCGATGCAATTCGGTTATATTTCCTACGTCCGGTGAATCGATGAACATTTGAAAACCTACGACAAGGCCGACCAGATCGCCGAAGAGTATGAAGAGGACTGGTGTTAATGCACCTGATAATGCTGATAGGATTATTCCGAAGAGTGTGAGGAATATATCGGAACATGTTGCAAATTTAAACTGAAAACAAGTAAAAAAATTAATTTTTTTAGTGAAAAATTTTGTGTTTTTATGAATAACTTTTAAAGTTTTTGGTTAAAATTAACAATCTTAGTGTCAAAACAAAGCTAAATAAATATAGAAATAATGTGTGTGGTGATATAAATTTTAAAATGTTGTTAAACTATGTTTATTAGCACTTTAATAATTGATTGCTTAATTTTTTTATTTTGTAGGTGAAAGTTTTATTTCCAAAGTTATTTTTCACTATGTAATGTTATTTAATGATGCATTAAATATGCAAAAATAGTTTTACAACTGTATAAATTATTAATAGAACTTACTAATTGGAAATATGGAACTTCCGGAGGTTCGTTTGATTTTCCAGAATTAATTTCATCACATATTGACCCTGATTTATCTTTTTTTCTGTAAAAACGCACAAAAAAATAATTTAAATTAAATTTTACCTTAGTTACTTTTTTGGCTTACTTTTTCTTAGCATTTTTCACATTTTTGGCATTCTCTGTGCTATTTGCACTGAGATTCGACAATTTTATATGCGCGTCGGGCTCCAGCTGTCCGTTAACATCGATTTTCGCGCTTTTGTCGTCACTGATGTCGTTCTCGTCCTTGATTTTCATCTTAACGCACTCAATAACAAAGAATTTACTAAACAATCACTAAATTAACACAGAAATTCACTAAATTTAATGTGAAACACGAAAAAATAAAAATTAAAAATCACTTTTTATCTTCCTATCGATTATTATCACATGCGTCTATGTATTTATCTTGTATTATTACTTTTACACGTATTTGCTTTAAATTATTAATACTTGTGCGTGTTTTTCATGACCGTCGCGCTTTGCGGCAAGTGCGCGACTGAAAGTCGTGTGCGTTCGCTTCACTTGAACACAGAGAGAAAAAAAACCACACTTCGTACATAAATAGATAAGCACCGCATTCGCACACGCTGAAAATAATGTCTAGTTTAAATCATCTAAATGTTCGTATCAACAGCTTTGTATAATTAATGTTTTAATCATTTTACGCTTTGTTTAAGGAAAGGAAATAATTAAAAATTCAAATTATCCAGTAATACTTCAGTAAATTACAGGAAAACTTTTAAAAACATAAAATATTAATATTTAAGTTAATCTAGTACCGTAAAACTATAAAAACTGAAAAATATTCTTTTCTTGTGTTATTTAAATGTAAAATTTTATTTTTTAACCCGAAAATACCAAATTTAAACGTCATTTTGACATGAAAAATTTTTGAGTGTCGTTCAATACCTTCAATTAATAATTCATGGTTGTCATTAGCAACGATCGTCAAATTATACCTGTACACACCTAAAAGACATTCATTATTATATTTTATGCATAATCGCACTCAAAAAATAATGATTCTTCAAAGACATTTGCGTTTATTGTGTAATTACTTACTTTTTGGTCTTTTAAAATTTTTTCTGCTGATTTTTCACAAATTTCATTCAACAATAACAGAAATTGGTGCACGCAGACAAGAGACAGCAATTAATATTATTATTAACTCATCAACAACAGTCTTTGTTGACATTTTAATACAATTAAACGTATATATGCCAATAATAATTTTATTCTACTCGTAAGATAAGAAAATTGAAGAAAAAAAATTAATTCATTTTTATTTTATGAATAACGGTATAAAATGCATTCATATTAACATGTGCATGATAAATATGTGAACTAAATGTTGTTATACCGTTAGAGAATTTTGTCCGTTTGACACTCACGATGATCACGTGCATAGATAATGAGTTATTTGAGTATTTGGGATGTAAATACTTTGGTTTTGATGATAACATTACACCATTAACACAATTACATGATAATTTTGTTTGTATTTCTATATTTACCTACTGACCTAGCAAATTAGTTAATATCTAGGTATTGAAATGAGGTTGTAGTAGAAAAATGTGATTAGCAAAACAAAAAAACCGACAATAAATAAATCACTTTCTAGAGTTACACGATTCGACATTTTTCTATGAAATGTTTTCATAAAAAACTTCATTCATGTAGAAAATATTTTTTTAATTTCGAAATGTTAAATAATATTATATATTAATTTGAATTAAATTAATAGAACAAATAGATAACATTTGTGCGGTCAGACGGTGATAAAAATGAATGATATGAACTTGAGATGAAAACGTGGGTCACAAAACGTTGCACAACGTGATTAAATGTTGGTAGTTTTATCGGGATCAATTTTTGTCTATAAAACAATGAGGATAAGTGTAGAAGTGTGGAATAAATAAGTAAAAATTATTTTGTGTGGAAAAAAGTGAAATGTCGATTATTTGCTATTTTTTAAATGCGTATGAATGCATTTTGACGTTGAGTGTGTTGAATGGCATGCTATTTGTTGCGATAATAAGCAAAATAAATGTTTATGGCACGATGGCGTGCAATTAAGGGACTCGTGTAAACATTCTGTTAATTTTTAATTATCAAAAACATCTCGTCTAGTGAAACTCTGGGATTAATGGACGTTTTTTGCGAGAAGATAGGATTAATTTAATTTGGGATGGCAATGAACATAATTGCTTATTAATCTGTTAATAAAGAATATAAAACATTTTGGATTAGTGCTGAATTGTTCAAAAATTTGAGGGATAAAAATCATAACCTTAAATTGTTAGATATTGTCCTTAAATTTTCATTAAAATTTTATTATTTTATATTTTTACCTTTTAAAGCATTTTCTAAACTTTCATAATCTTCATTTGGTCGCTGTCACTTTCAGTTTAGAAGATATTCGTTTCAGGAAATACTCAAAAAACATGATGAAGCAACTTTTGGTGGAGGCGCCAGATTTTTTTTATAACATTTGCACTTTCTTTTTAATCTGATGATACCAATTTGTAAAGTGGTTTTCCACTACCTTATTGACACAACTTTTAACTTGATAGTGCTAATAGTTTACCCTGTAGATGAATTGAAGTGCGACATGTACTTGAATAAACACTTAATTAGCAATTATCTCAAAAACTACGAAAGATAAACAAAAACAGCAAACGCTACGAGGCTCAGAATTAAATTCTACCTAAGATAAGATTTTAAAATTTGTGTTTTTTAGGTAGTGAAAAATAAAAAAAAGGTTAGGAATTATTATTGTAGGTTATGTAGACAGGTTATAATAGAATGAAACTATTACCAAATAATTATGTTGCGAAATATTTTATTATTGAAAAAGTTTACTTCTAGTGTACACAGCAAAAAACATTCAGTCGCCAGAGGGTTCCTGTCCATTGCATCCATCATCATATAAATACTTCAAACGGCTCAGATCCTCTGGTACAAGTACATATAGCCCAACTCTTTCGGCGGGTTTTCAGAGAGCGCCACCTTGTTATCATTGAAAATCACCCAGCGGCCCTCCTTCAAAACGTGTACAACGTAATGTCCCACCATCGAAGATGTTCCCATATGTGAGACGAAACCAATCAATTTATAATCTACACAAAAAAGCAAATAAAAATAATTTAGTTATGTAAATGCATGAGTAGACAAAGTTGCATATACTCACGTCCTTCGCCATCTTTAAATTCCGGTTCACTCGGCACCTGTGTATCTTCCAACTCTTCTGGATGTGAGAAAATCCAATCCAAAGCTCTCTCACCATTATTATTACAATTCTTCAACGCTTTCGTCGCCTGCGCTCTAGTAAAACCCATTCCAACAATCAATTCAACAGCTTCGGGATCCGCCTCGACTCCTACAGCGCCAGCAGCTCCACCTGCTTCCAAACCAGGCGGAGTAAACGGATCCGAGAAGTCCGCATCGGCAATGTGTTGCATTATCCATCCCATAGCGGTTTCAACACCTGAATTTTGTGTGAAGTACAATGCCCGTTTACAAGCATTCTCCGGGAATCCCATTTCAATCAAACTAGCCATAACAGTCGGATCATAACTCGGCGGTTGGACCACCACATTCGAAGCCAATTCTGGTAAAGTCTCCTCGCCGGGTTGGGGACCATTCGCCCTGAGAATATTCAAATCTAACACATCGGGCATCTCAACAGCCACGTCAAGTTTAATCGGTACCCAATCTTCTCTTAGAGTAAACTTCTTGAGTTGAATCAAGAGATAATCAGGGAACGTCGCCAGACGTGTTGTTTTCCTTGCTGTGGTCTTATCATTAATCGCTGTGCTGTAGAATTGTTCAATCACCTCAGTCTGAGTGAGAGTTTCAAGGCAAGAAAAGAATTTGATACGTGGACGGACCAATGAGTCCGGTTCAAGGCGTTTTCCCTGAGATTCCGCCTCGACTTTACGCGCTTCATAAGCAGCAACTTCTTCTTTGTTAACAGCCGCTTCCAATGGAATAGTCAGACCAAGAATAGTATCCGACCTGTATGTGTACTTCACCTTGTTACTGCTGTTGCATTGGATCTTCTCTTCGAGTTTATATTTGAAAGCGTTGCCAGGATTCGGCTGATTACGACTGTTGCGTTCAATCAATGACATTAAATGCATGAAGTATTCAACAGCGTCCTGCTGTTTGCAGGAGGAAAAGTCTGGATTTCCACGACCTACTAATGTTTTGAACATCAGAGGCGAGATACCAGGTGAATCCGCATCGATTGGTGAACCAGCCGGTGGTGGAACAGAATATTTTCCAGAAAGAAGACCTACAGCTACTTTCGCCCTAGAATTTTAGCGTTAAAAAAAGAAATAAACATATTTTGTGTTAAAATACATTTGACAGTTAAAGTCTTCCGCTGGATCGCCATTTATGGAATCAAAGATGGTGTCTGCATTCGCATAGTATCGCTGTACAAAGTTTGGCACAAGATACAAGAGTTGTATAACACTGTTTAAGTAACAAGAGTTGCCTAGATTTGTCATTCCGGTATAGCCAGGGCCATACATCGGCGTTAGTTTACCGCCACTCTCTTGAAGCGCCGCCCATTCATTGGTTTTCTGATTCAATTCCAACTCTAGTTCAACCATTGACTTCTCAGTCTTTTCCATGTTATTCATATTGATGCCCCAGTGTGATAAATGCTCGATCAGTTTTGGATCTTCAACCATGTCGTCTTCGGCATAGCTGAAAATGTCAGCTTTGCCTTCCTTGGTGATAGTTCCCAATTTGACCGCTAGAGGATACTTGGTTGTTTCGTAGTGTTCAATGGCGTGATTGTTTCCGCCGGTGCCATCGTAGAACTTCCTTCCGCAATGGATGGAACCGTCTGTGAGGTTCAACCAGAGATTTTCGGTTTTGTCGCATTTCTCGCACACCCAACCGCTTGGAGGGATCTTTTTGCCATTGTCCAATTGGGTGAGATTTTCTGCATATTTACTTACGACACGTGCTTCGCCGTCCCAAGTACCGGTGAGTGCTTCCAGCTCGGCTTTCTTGCTTGCAGATTGCATGTCAAGGATGGTTTGAACTGATTGAATAACCTGCATTGAATATTTTAAGTTATTAACTTAATAATTTTTTTTCATTTTTTAATAACTTACAAGTTCTGGCAGTTCAGGATTGGGCCAAGGCAGCATTGTGAAGCTGGGCAGGACACAAACATGATAAATATCATGAAATTCAAACTTTTTATGTCCTAGTTGGGGATCAAAACCACCTTCAACACCAATGGCCAACCGCGTGATTTTCTTCTCTGGTCCATCACCCTGTGGTGGTGAAGCAACCTGAATTATGCAATTCAAATGACAAATCATTCCCAATCATCACTGATAACTTCAAAAATTAAAATACCTCATGTCTCTCACGCTTCATGTGTAAGAACACAGCATGCTGTGTCTTGTTGTAGTATTTCTCAACATAATCGCGACCGAAACCGAGAAAACTATTGAGACTCACATATAAGCCGGTATCACTGTCCTGTAAATGACAATAGCGTTATCAAAAGATATATAAAAAATTTGTATTGCATATTGGAATGGAGAACATAACCCTAGAGTACTCACCGGATTGTCGAACGAAAAGACACACTCGTCTTTGTAGACCTTGTCATTTTGGTTCGGCACGCGGATCTGCTTTAAATGCTGGCGCAGTTCCTCCATGGCTCGTGTTGGTTGGGCGATTGTGTGGAGTTTTATAAAATTTAGGAATGATCTAGCATAAACAGCACAAAGCAAGGTTTGACAGGGCGGTTACCCGGCGAAATAACCCCTCCATTCAGTGAAATATATAGATCTCTGCATATTCTGCAATTTTGAATCAGAATAATAAATTAATATATTTATGATATAATTTGCTTCTTCAAAAACATTGCTGGTAAATCTAAACTTGATGAAATTTACTCATAATGGTATACTTATAATGTTTTAAATATGAGCAGACTAGCGCCATCTAGGTTTGTGTTGTTGCATTATTTTGCTAACATGCTATATATTTAGACTGGGAGGTGCACGTAAACTTTTGTGCGCGTGTGACACACACGGACTTGGGTGCCCCTCCATAACCACCTTGAACATTCACTGACTCAGTCAAACATTCTCACTTGCATGTGTTGCACGCTACGTTTTACGAAACACTCTCTAAGATATAATATGTCCTTGAGATATTTTAAATCCTGTTTAGATGGCGCAGCGATACACTTAAGCCAAAAATAGTCGGCCGATTGACCTTGCACGTATTTTTCAACGAGAGTGAGTTGCCGTCGGATGCCGATCGCGAATTTCTTGTAATTGGCAATAATTGTGATCAAAATTACTTTGCGCTCAATTTTTTTATCATCAGTGAAAGAAAATTTTTGAAATTTTCTTTTAAATTTCTTCTCATTTTCGCGATATTTCTATTGCAAATATCTTGTGAACTAAAATGATAGAGTAGAACGGATTGACAATTCTTAATTTACTGGAAATTCTCTATTCGAGACGAAAATAAAATCAAATTTATAAATTAATAATAACGAATAAATGAGAATGAAAATTTATTCTAATTTTCATTAATGTAATACAAAAAACTTTTATAAACATTTCTTTATTCATGCGACAAGCGACAAAGCGATTTGTAATAACCAAAGTCGCTGTGCGCTGACCTTGCCATCTTATTTCCGCGCAAATATCTATCGCTTTACTATATCAGACAAGAAGAAGGTGGCGTGCCTTCGATGCGCAGCCAATAGGAACGTCTTATTTAATCTTATCATAAGCAGTCGCGCCGCGTGCACGATCAACAGGTTTATTCTTGTTAGTAGACTATTTAGTTTCGTGTCGTTTGCCGGTTAGACGTTTCTCCGTGCTCGTATAACTCTTAGGCATTTAATTTCACAAAACCGCGATATATTCCATCGACAAACGAGCGAATTTAGTTGTAACGACGTGTCCGGTGTTCTGTGTGGTTTTGATTGCGTTTATACAGTGTACTTTTCATGCATACGGCTGCAATCTTAACAACATTAGTGTGTGGCGACGTTGGATTGTGTGTAGTGCTTGTCGTCTGCTTTGACTAACTTTAATTCATATTTACCTCAGTCAATTTGTTTCTCATCGCTGGGAAAGCTGTTTGTGCTTGGGTAAGAAATAATATGAACATTGTAGTGGCCCACAGTGGCTGCTATGAAAATTTTGTTGCTCGAAGTGATAATCGTACATAGCATACTAACTCGTGTTTTTTCTATATTGTAGTACATGCCTTGTCGCGGGTTCCCATCGCCGCTTTGCTGGTAAGTTTATTATGCAATTATATCTCCCGTAAGCATTTTCGAATTGAATGCATGATTGTTTTAAAAGAGTTTTGCAATTATCACTGATAACTACAAAATTAAAATACCTCATGTCTCTCACGCTTCATGTGTAAGAACACAGCATGCTGTGTCTTGTTGTAGTATTTCTCAACATAATCGCGACCGAAGCCGAGAAAACTGTTGAGACTCACATATAAGCCGGTATCACTGTCCTGTAAATGACAATAGCGTTATCAAAAGATATATAAAAAATTTGTATTGCATATTGGAATGGAGAACATAACCCTAGAGTACTCACCGGATTGTCGAACGAAAAGACACACTCGTCTTTGTAGACCTTGTCATTTTGGTTCGGCACGCGGATCTGCTTTAAATGCTGGCGCAGTTCCTCCATGGCTCGTGTTGGTTGGGCGATTGTGTGGAGTTTTATAAAATTTAGGAATGATCTAGCATAAACAGCACAAAGCAAGGTTTGACAGGGCGGTTACCCGGCGAAATAACCCTCCATTCAGTGAAATATATAGATCTCTGCATGTTCTGCAATTGTGAATCAAAATAGTAAATTAATATATTTGTGATATAATTTGTTTCTTTAGAAACATTGCTTGTAAATCTAAACTTGATGAAATTTACTCATAATAGTATTAACAATGTTTTAAATATGAGCAAACTAGCGTCACCTAGGTTTGTGTTATTGCATTATTTTGCAAACATGCTATATATTTAGACTGGGAGGTGCACGTAAACTTTTGTGTGCGTGTGACACACACGGACTTGGGTGCCCCTCCATAACCACCTTGAACATTCACTGACTCAGTCAAACATTCTCACTTGCATGTGTTGCACGCTACGTTTTACGAAACACTCTATGAGATATAGTATGTCCTTGAGATATTATAAATCATGTTTAGATGGCGCATCGATACACTTATGCCTAAAAATAGTCAAACGATTGACCTTGCACGTATTTTTCGTCGAGAGTGAGTTGCCGTCGGATGCCGATCGCGAATTTCTTGTGTTTGGCAATAATTGTGATCAAAATTACTTTGCGCTCAATTTTTTTATCATCAGTGAAAGTGCTCAAGCTAATATGACACCTGGTAATTATTATTAATTTATTAATTATCGCGAATAACACGGTTTCAAAATAAATTAAAAATGGAAATTCCAACTTTTTAATACGGAAAGTCCATTGCAATTTCTTCTCATTTTTCGCGATATTTCTATTGCAAATATTTTATAAACTAAAAATGTTAGAGTGGAACGAATTGAAAATTCTTAATTTACGGGAAATTCTCTATTCGAGACGAAAATAAAATCAAATTTAAAAGTTAGTAATACCGAAAAAATGATAATGAAAATAATTCGCATTTTCATTAATGCAATACAACTTTATTTATAAACATTTCTTCATTCATGCGATAAGCGGCAAAGCGATTTGCAACACCCAAAGTCGCTGTGCGCTGACCTTGCCATCTTATTTCCGCGCACATATCTATCGCTTTACTATATCAGACAAGACAAAGGTGGCGTGCCTTCTATACGCAGACAAAAAGGAACGTCTTATTTAATCTTATCATAAGCAGTCGCGCCGCGTGCACGATCAACAGGTTTATTCTTGTTAGTAGACTATTTAGTTTCGTGTCGTTTGCCGGTTAGACGTTTCTCCGTGCTCGTATAACTCTTAGGCATTTAATTTCACAAAACCGCGATATATTCCATCGACAAACGAGCGAATGCGACGTGTCCGGTGTCCTGTGCGGTTTTTGATTGCGTTTATTCAGTGTAGTTTCATGCATACGGCTGCAGTCTTAACAATTTTATTAGTGTGCTGCTACGTTGGATTGTGTGTAGTGCTTGTCGTCTGCTTTGACTAACTTTAATTCATATTTACCTCAGTCAATTTGTTTCTCATCGCTGGGAAAGCTGTTTGTGCTTGGGTAAGAAATAATATGAACATTGTAGTGGCCCACAGTGGCTGTTATGCAAATTTTCTTGCTCGAAGTGTTAATCGTACATAGCATACTAACTCGAGTTTTTTTCTATATTGTAGTACATGCCTTGTCGCGGGTTCCCATCGCCGCTTTGCTGGTAAGTTTATTATGCAATTATATCTCCCGTAAGCATTTTCGAATTGAATGCATGATTGTTTTAAAAGAGTTTTGAAATCGCCTTCAAAGTTTTTGTGATCATGACCCATTTAGTCACTTGTCGTGTTTTTCCTTTTTAGTTATAACCGGAATTGAAAATATTCCAATATTTAGATAGTGTAAGAGTTCTTTTAAGGAATGGGTCTATTCCAGCCCTCAAAATTGCTAAAAATGTGGTAAAACAACAGCCTCCAAAATTCGGTAATTTTTACCATTTTTGATAACATCCTGTGGAAATTGGTCATTATCTCGGGAACCATTCATGCCACGGTAATGTTCTTGCAATATTTATATAGAGGAAGAGTTTATCTAACCGATGCGCCCATTTTGGCTCTGAAAGTCACACGGGAACAATGTGAAAACCGTCCCTAAAGTTCGGTCATTTTTAACATTTTTGAAAACATCCCGTGGAAATTGGTCATTATCTCGGGAACCATTCATGCCACGGTAATGTTCTTGCAATATTTATATAGAGGAAGAGTTTATCTAACCGATGCGCTCATTTTGGCTCTGAAAGTCACACGGGAACAATGTGAAAACCGCCCCTAAAGTTCGGTCATTTTTAACATTTTTGAAAACAGCCTGTGGAAATTGGTCATTATCTCGGGAACCATTTATGCCACAGTAATGTTATTGCCATATTTAGATAGAGGAAGAGTTTATCTACTCGATGGGCCTATTTTGGCTCTAAAAATCACACGGGAACAGTCTGAAAACCAGCCCTAAAGTTCGGTCATTTTTAACATTTTTGAAAACATCCTGTGGTAATTGGTCATTATCTCGGGAACCATTTATGCCAAAGTAATGCTATTGCCATATTTAGGTAGAGGAAGAGTTTATCTACGCGATGGGCTCATTTTGGCCCTAAAAATCACACGGGAACAATCTGAAAACCGCCCCTAAAGTTCGGTCATTTTTAACATTTTTGAAAACAGCCTGTGGAAATTGGTCATTATCTCGGGAACCATTTATGCCACAGTAATGTTATTGCAATATTTAGATAGAAGAAGAGTTTATCTAAGCGATGCGCTCATTTTGGCTCTGAAAATCACACGGGAACAGTCTGAAAACCGCCCCTAAAGTTCGGTCATTTTTAACATTTTTGAAAACATCCTGTGGAAATTGGTCATTATCTCGGGAACCATTTATGCCATAGTAATGTTGTTGCAATATTTAGATAGAAGAAGAGTTTATCTAAGCGATGCGCTCATTTTGGCTCTTAAAATCATAAGGAACAGTCTGAAAACCGCCCCTAAAGTTCGGTCATTTTTAACATTTTTGAAAACAGCCTGTGGAAATTGCTCATTATCTCGGGAACCATTTATGCCACAGTAATGTTATTGCCATATTTAGATAGAGGAAGAGTTTATCTACGCGATGGGCCTATTTTGGCTCTAAAAATCACACGGGAACAGTCTGAAAACCGCCCCTAAAGTTCGGTCATTTTTAGCATTTTTTGTAAACATCCTGTGGAAATTGGTCATTATCTCGGGAACCATTCATGTCACGGTAATGTTATTGCAATATTTATATAGAGGAAGAGTTTCTCTAAGCGATGGGCCTATTTTGACCCAGAAAATCAGACGGGAACAGTCTGAAAACCGCCCCTAAAGTTCGGTCATTTTTTGAACATTTTTGAAAACATCCTGTGGAAATTGGTCATTATCTCGGGAACCATTTATGTAACTGTAATTTTTTTGCAATATTTAGATACCCGAAGAGGTTATCTAAGCAATGGGCCCATTTTGGCTCTGAAAATCACACGGGAACAGTGTGAAAACCGCCCTTAAAGTTTGGTCATTTTTAACATTTTTGAAAACATCCTGTGGAAATTGGTCATTATCTCGGGAACCATTTATGTGACTGTAATTTTTGCAATATTTAGATACCAGAAGAGGTTATCTAAGCGATAGGCCCATTTTGGCTCTGAACATCACACGGGAACAGTGTGAAAACCGCCCTTAAAGTTTGGTCATTTTTAACATTTTTGAAAACATCCTGTGGAAATTGGTCATTATCTCGGGAACCATCTTAGTGACTCCAATTTTTTTTGCAATATTCTCATACCGGAAGAATTTATCTAAGCGATGCACCCATTTTGGCCCAGAAAATCAGACGGGAACAGTCTGAAAACCGCCCTTAAAGTTCGGTCATTTTTAACATTTTTGGAGGCATCCTGTGGAAATTGAGCATTATCTTGGGAACCATATATACCACTGTAATGGTCTTGCAATATTTAGATAACGCAAGAGTACAAAAAAAATATAATACATAAAATTTTATTTTAATATTTATTAAGTTAGCGAAATTTCTTACATCATTATTTAGTTGTAGTTTACAAGGAGGTGTGTTGCAATTATACACTCTAACACTGAAATGGAAATAAATTCAAGTTTACTAAGATGTTGTATCAAGTGTAAAGTACTTTTTACAAACAACGTGTGCGTTAACTACGCTTTGATAAGTTGACACAATTCTATATAAAATATATTACATTAAACAAATATATAAAATTTAACTTTTGTTTATATTAAGTTAATGTAATAACTTATATTATCAATTGCAAGTTTATGATGTGTAGTGATAAAAATGTATCACTGTTGCACTGAAATAGAAGTAAGTAATATTTAACTGTCCTATACACATATAATGCGTGAAGTAACCTTTACACAAATGTTTGTGTTAAGTGAGCCTTAGAAGTTGTACATAAAAAATAATATTATGTATTATATTTTAATACATAAAATTTTATTTAATTTATATTAACGTAACGAAATTACTTATATAATTATTTATTTCAATTTTACAAAGTGTAGTGTCACAATTAAATATGCTATGGAAATTGGTCATCAGCTCCACTACGCTGCACTTGCACTACGAACGTGCGAACGTTTCAGTGTGTTCTTACCTGCACGCGGCTTGTCACCATCTTTCTTCCGTTCATTTCAATTAAGTGAACGGCAATACATCATATCGATAAATATCGACACTTAATGGCAATTGACGTGTTTAGTGTTTTTCAAACATTGATTTGTGCGTGAAATGATTTTAAAACTTGTGTCTTCTTTTGTGCGTTAGTGTACCGTCGGCAATTAGATTTTTCAATGCTGATAATTGGAAGAATTCAAAATTTATATGCCATTGTTAACTTCGAGTAGGTAGTAGGTATAATTAAATTTTGTCCTCGGCAGGAATTTACGGGGATTTAAGCAAGTTTACGTAATGATCTGAACATTGTGGGTCAAAATACCACTTGCAATGCAAGTTTATTATCTGACGGAACGGACTTTATATTTAATTATGCAACATAGTGCGAGTTCTAATTCACGTGTTTTTTCTGTTTCAGTTCTTTCTTTGATTAGACTTGCACTTGACTCCGTCATCGTAGAAGGATCATTATTGCATCAGATTGTAAGTATTAAATTTCTTTATCATTTTCTTAAACAACTTTTATGAATATTTTACAAATTGACTCTTAAAATTGCATTTTTATGCTTCGTAGGACTACGGTACCCTGAACAGGAGTCAATTCTACAGCTACCTTCGTACGGTATCCTGATTATTTTTGTTATAACTCGCGAACGCGGTTTTACTTTAAGTTCGAAATAACTTTCTTAGATGCGGAATTTACTTTTGTATCACCTTGTATTAAAATTTATTGCTAGAAAATTTCGTAACGCGAGTTATCTTGTTAGTTGTGTGTATACGCACTTGTACTCGTTGCGCTAGGAATTGTAGTTTTTCTATTATAATACGCGAACGCGGTCTTATTCTAAGTTCGGAATAATTTTATTAGATGCGGAATTTAATTTTGTATCACCTCGTATTGAAATTTATTGCTAGAAAATTTTTTAACGCGAGTTATATTGATAGTTGTGTGTATACGCACTCGGAAAATTCGTTGCGCCAGAAATTGTAGTTTTTCTATTATAACACGCGAACGCGCTCTCTTTCTTCTAAGTTCGGAATAATTTTATTAGATACGGAATTTAATTTTGTATCACCGTATTGAAATTTATTGCTAGAAAATTTTTTAACGCGAGTTATATTGATAGTTGTGTGTATACGCACTTGTACTCGTTGCGCTAGAAATTGTAGTTTTTCTATTATAACACGCGAACGCGCTCTTCTTCTAAGTTCGGAATAATTTTATTAGATGCGGAATTTAATTTTGTATCACCGTATTGAAATCTCTATTGCTAGAAAATTTTTAACGCGAGTTATATTGATAGTTGTGTGTATACGCACTTGTACTCGTTGCGCTAGAAATTGTAGTTTTTCTATTATAACAACGGTCTTATTCCTAAGTTCGAATACTTTATTAGATGCTGTGAAGCCAGCGTGCGCTCTGAAGATGGCGCCGGGTTCAAAGCTGTGAGCAGAAGGACTGATGTGTGGATTTTACGCTGGTTGTAAGGCAGCGGAGAAAGCTTCCTAGAGGTGCTTCGGAGAAGTGAGGTGATTCTGTGCTCGATGCTTGCTCGGTAACTACTACTTTATTCATCCAAAAATGTCTAAGAGCAAACTTTATGCGTTGCAGATTCTGCCCAAGGGCAGTGACCCTTCGTGATTTTGTAATCTTAAGATAGCTTTAATTACTATACAAAGGATATATATATATAATTGTTGGCACAAGGGTCAGTGTGTGACGATGGACCCTTGCTCATCTGCGTAAATGTGTTTACTATCTACTGTACCCATGTAACTACTGTAACTTTCTAAATGATTAAGTGTGTTGATATACATATTACGATAAAGTTAGTCTTGGTGATTGCACCACTGTATAACTTAATTGTATTTATTGTCTAAGTTCCCGGCGACGCAATTATCGGCACCAAATAAAACACACAACACCGAATTTGTGAGAAGTTGAAACTCTGCCGCTTTTCTGTTTGCGGTGCAAACATGTTGGGGCCGGCGCCGGAGAGGTGTCTCGATGAAGGCTCCCTGGTGGCTCTTTGATGATGGCGAACATCCTGTCTGCTGATGGTGCCGATTATCTAGAGTGACTTAACCCATTTGGCTTCATTTGTGGTTGAGAGGGTTTATTTTGTCGGCGCCTATGGATCCAAACCACTGTTACCACAACACCTAATATAAATAACAGTGTTGTCATCGTACTTCCCCATAGTACGGACGCGTGTGAGGGCACTGTTCTCCACACAGTGTCTTCTTGTGCCCGGACAATCTCCTCCTCGGCCTTAATGATCCGTTGGAAACTGTCGGTTGCCCGGTAAATTGTTTCTTTGGCTCTCGGATGAAGGACATTCTGAGGTTCCGTCCACGGGATGGGAATTTGGTAGGCGTAGGTGCCCAGTACTTGGATTCTTGCTGCATTGGTTGAAAACAAGACATGCTGGATTCCATCAATCCGACAACCAGGCTGAATGTTGATTATGCCAGTGCCTACCAATAGTGCATTTGTCCTTCCTTCATGGCATATTACGGCTACTGACGTAGGCTGCTTGGTAATGAATAACCAGGTATTCGATCTTAGCAGTTGCTTCCAAATCAGATGATCCAATACGTGGGTGACGATGTTGTAGTTGCACGGCTCGAGATTTCCGTAGATTGCTTCCACTACGCAATTCTTATCGAATCCCAATTTGCGGACTGAGCTAGGTGAACAGGCAAAACGATTATCTCCCAAATCGTAGCAGTTCTTGAGTTCGTCCATGCTCAGTTCATAGTACTGCTGAAGTTCATAGTTCACCGCCGTCAGTGAATTGGGTACATCATATACAGTATATGACGTATTTGTTATATGAAGCGGAGTTGCAGTTATTTTCATCATTGAATATTCTGCTTTGGTTATGATGGGAAAATAGCCAAAAATGATTACCTGAGACGTATTCTGTGTCATTTCTGTTCTGACGAGTATTGAACTTTCCACTGCGCTGTCCTTTCCCAACAGTGCATTTGTTTCTTGAATTGCAGACTCAACCTGGGCCGGGGATACAAGATCAAAGAAATTCCCTTTGTTGATTCCTATTTTGGCCAATTTTCCATAATGCTCAGTGACTTCGTTGATGTAATTAAGTCCTTGCTGATACATATTGATTAGGTGAGCATTATGCTCTTTGGCCACTCTTATTGATGCCATCGTGTTCCTCACTTGAGTCTGGAATTTTGCGAATTGGTTCTCCATTCTCCCATTTGTCTCGTTTAGTGTGTATAGTGTGGATAGCATCAATTCCGACTGGTGATGGCTGGTTTTAATTAGCTCCTTCTGGTTCTCGGTCAGGCCGTCTATATCGCGATAGACTTCGTCATTGACTCCGAAAATCGAGGTAAGGACCGTTCCGAGAATCCCACGTTTGAGCCTAGTCTTCGATTGAAGCAGTCCTATGTCGTGTCTGACCCACTCTAACTTGTTGATTTGGGCAACCAAGTGATGATGAAGTGCGTTACAATCTAACGACTCCTTATTTGTCGTTATGTTGTTGCAGATGTGTAAAAACCTTTCATCAATCTCTTGGGCCGATAGAATGTCGTGCTGGATTTTCTCTTTGTCAAACATCACCTGCATTCGAAACTCTCCTCTGGTGATTTTTGAGATTCCCAGGTGCTCAACAAAGATTCCAGAAGTCACATTCTCTATTATGTATTGCGTGGATGCAGATTTGATGACGGTGAAGAGGAAGAATATAATATGCATGACACTGATTTTTGTTACGAACTTGGATTCCTTTCTTCTTGTCTCTGTTGTTTTTATATGCCCAACCTTACCGAGTATCCTTTCCACAGGTTCATCACCGATCTTCTCTTCCGCAGGTAGTGGGATCAAATTAGTAATTGCTCGCTTAAATACCTTACCATTAGGTCCTTGAAGCGTGACTACTCGTACATTTCCGTCTTCTCTTGGATGGACCTCCTTGATTTTTGCTAATGGCCACCGCGCAGGATTGATATCCTTTTCCTTCATTATTACAACTGCTTCCTTTTTCAGGTTGTCTGCAGACTCCTGCCATTTATATTGATGGTGTAATCGACTTACGTACTCGAAGGACCAGGACTTCCAAAATCGTTTCTTGATTGTTTGTAATTGCTGCCATCGTTCTCCCAGACTTCCATTTATGGCAGTCTCGACTGGATTCGGCGGTTCAATCAAGGGCCCTCCTATTAAAAAATGTCCTGCAGTGATAACTTCAATGATTTCATCGTCGTTGTTTATTGCGCAGAGTGGTCTTGAGTTGAGTGCTGCTTCAATTTGATGTAGAAGAGTTGTAAGTTCTTCGTACGTAAGGGTACTATCTCCAATTTGCCGTTTCAGGTGATGTTTTATTGACTTCACTCCAGCCTCCCACAATCCGCCAAAATGTGACGAAAGCGCGGGTATAAAATGCCATGTTGTCCCTATTTTGAATGATGCACTCTGAACTTCTTCTGCCATTTCGCATTTGAGGACATCCAGTTTTAGCTGCTTTGCGGCCCCGATGAACGTTGTACCATTATCGCTATAAAGATGGGCGCAACTACCCCTTCGTGCAGTAAATCTTCTAAATGCTGCAAGGAATGCATTGGTGGTCAAGTCGCTCACCACTTCGATATGAATTGCCTTAGTGGATAAACATATAAAGATCGCAATGTATCCTTTGTAGCTCTTGTTGCCTCTTCCCTTGCTGATTCTTACGTTGATTGGACCGGCGTAGTCAACTCCGGTGTGCGTAAACGCTCTTGATGGTGTCACTCGCGCACTCGGAAGCTGGCCCATAATTTGTTCTGCACACTGCGCCTTGTTTCGAATGCATACGACACATTTTCTTATAAATGCACGAATGGTTATCTTTGCTCTTGGAATCCAAAACTTTCTTCTGGTGAATGCTAATGTTGCTTCATTTCCACCATGCAGCGTCGTGTAATGCGCGTCTTGGATAATTAATTTTGCCAGATGATGATTGGATGGTATAAGAATTGGATGTCGCCGATTGTATTTGAGCTGTGAGTTTTCCAAACGTCCTCCGACTCGCATAAGGCCTTCTGGATCAACAAATGGAATTAGTGATTTTATTTCACTTGCCTTAGCAATGTGTGATCCAGTTGTTAACGCCTTTAATTCATCAGCAAATCCTTCTTGCTGCACCAATCTGATGACTGCCTGCATTGTTGATTCCATTTCTGCGTACTTTATTCCATCCTTGTCTCTGGTACGAAATCGTCGACAGTACGTTAGAACTCGTAACATTTTGTGTAGTGACGAGAAACGATTGATGATTGAGGAGTTTGGTTTTACCATAAGTATATTTATCGTTGCAGGCATAGAAATGACCTTTCGTATCATCGGTTGCGGTGGCCACGTTTCCTTCTCCTGTGTCAGCCATGCTGGTCCTTGCCACCATAGCTTGCTCTCCTTCAGTTTGTTTGGTGCCACCCCTCGTGTTATTAGATCAGCAGGATTTTCGTGCGTCCTTACATGCCTCCATGCTTGAGTCGGAATATTTCGGTTTACGTCAACTATCCTGTTTGCCACAAAGACCTCTCTTTTCTCCACTGGTCCGGTAATCCATGCCAAGGTGATCATCGAGTCCGACCATGCGTAGATGTTTTCGTTCGAGATGTCTAGCGAGATCCTTAACTTCCTTAGTAACACTGCTAGTAGCTTTGCTGCGCACAACTCTAGTCGAGGTAACGACACTTGGGTTTTCACCGGCGCAACCTTTGATTTGGCT